ATATGGTGAAATAGTTTAACCCTAAAAAAAATATAATATTAATTTTAGAATAAATAACTTCAGCAAAAAGTTTACGATAATTTTTTATGTTTATGTAACTTCCATATATTATTTAGTTTAAACTATAGTTATTAGTTTTAATAATAACTATTATATGATATAATAAAAAGTGTAATTATTACTTCGTTAATATATAATGTAATTATTTTTGTCTTAGTAACGGTTTTTGGAGGGAAATCGAAAAGAGGTTTTATTAAATGTTTTATTAAATTCTATTAGCCAACAATTATATATATATAGATATAAATTATATGAGATGTGATTGGCCAGTGAGTCAATCCGTCAAACATTTTTAATGAAAACGTATGTTTATGCTAAAATTCCACATTTTTACTAATGTAGCTTAGTGCTGTTAAATAAATGAGTTTGGCTCGGCACGGCTCGAGTTCGAGGCATTAACGAGTCGAGCTTGAGTTCATTTAAAGTTCGTTTTATTAACGAGTCGAGCTCAGCTCGGCCTCGGCTCGATAAGACACGCTAAAGCTCGAAAATATAATTTTATAGTTAGACTCGTTAAACTTCGATATTGGCTCGGACTCCATTTTAGGCTCGTTCACTTATCGAGTCGAGCTCGTCTCGGCTCGACTCGGCTCGTTTCGTTAAAGGCTCAAGCTCGAGCTTGAGCACCCTAAGCTCGAACTCAACTCGGCTCGTTAACAGCTCTAATGTAGCTTGACCCATCGTATACTTTTAAAACGTGACATATTTGCTTACATAATTTTGTAGTGTGTGATATTTTATAAAGTCCGCTTATATGTTAAAAAGTAAAACTGTTCAACGGTTACAATAATTTTTACTTATTTTTTTTTTTTTTTTGTTTTGTAAAAGTAGTTAATAATTTATTGATTATGGATGTATTTATTTGGTATAGTTTATTGGATAAGAATAAATAAAAAAAATATCCTTCACAATTAGAATTTTAATCTCTTCCTAAAGTAAATATGAATAGCATATGTATCCAATTATATATATATAATTGGGATAATGAAAATAATTATAATGAGTTTTAGGACAAATTAACTATTGAAAAAATCCAACATACGACGTCGTTAGGGTACCCTGCAACATAAATCTCTTTCGCTTTTATAAACCCTCACACAAGACTCCTCTTTTCATTTCAATCAGATTCAAAACCCGATGTGCAGCGAGACCCAACGGAAGCGCAAGCGCGGCCGCCGCCCCAAGATCCAGCCGTCGGAGACCGCGGTGCTCGACAGAAACAACGACGCAGGTGGGTCTCCGCGCGCGGCTTCCGCCGCTGCCGACAACGACGCCATCTTCTCCGTCAACAGCGTCGAGCTCATCCAGCCCGCCGCTTCCCCTCCTCCATCTGACCACCGCGGCCGCCGACGCGGCCGCCCACGCAAGAACTCAAACCCAGAAATTCCCACCTCCGCGGCTGCCGCTGCCAATGGCATAACCCTAACCGCGACGGTTTCGGCAGGTGTGGCTCGAGGTGTGCCGGCCATGGACGCGGTGGTGAAGGTATTCTGCGTTCATACCGATCCGAACTTCTCCTTGCCGTGGCAGAGGAAACGACAATATAGTTCGAGCAGCAGTGGGTTTGTCATCAAGGGAAGGAGGGTTCTAACGAATGCACATTCTGTCGAGCACTTTACGCAGGTGAAGTTGAAGAAGAGGGGTTCTGATACGAAATACTTAGCTACGGTCCTTGCTATTGGGACGGAATGTGACATTGGTGAGGCTGGTTTTATTCAGGTTTCCTTTGATTCAATGCTTCTACATTGTTTATAGAATTTGAATGAAATAATTGATTTATTTGTCAAACTGGGCCATAGTACTTTGTTTTATTTTTATATTTTGGAGAAGCAACACATAATCACATAAAGGTCTATTTTTCAGTAATCAGCTCATTATAGGTACTTTGTCATTTCATTTTGAATGGTACTTGTTTACATTGTGTTAGATAGAACATGTTTTATTGCCTGTTTCTGTTACTTGGGTATGTGTAAAATGACATGTGCTGCTGCAGTGGGATGAAATGTTTTAGCATTTATGTAAACTAAATAAATTAAATAATGTATTGGAAGAATTGAGTTACTCATATGGTTCATAGACAGTGTTTGTGGATCTTTTGAACATTGATATGGATTAAACATATGAAATTTTATTTCTCATGTTGCAAATTTCTAGATATGGTGTTTGATTCTGACTCCGTTAAGCTGCTGGTATGGTGTTGTGTTAATATCTTGTCTTGCTACTGATTGCATGATTTACAATAGCACTCTTTTCTATGATTTTTTGTTAGAGTTGGAATAATGATATCGATTCTTGAGTTTGTTGAGGGTAGGAACTACAGTATCTTGTTTAAACTTTCAATCCGGCATTTGAGAAACCGTGGCTGATTCAAGCCTAATGTTTCTGTAAGTTAAGAAAAAGGTCGCTGGAATTGAATAATTGAAATTTTCTATGTGCACGCGAAGAGTGCCTGTACATAGACACGGAAACTCACTACTTCATCGAAAAGGACAAACGGAAGATTGTCATTGCTGTCTGAAGTTTGCCAGATAAAATTAATAAGCAGTTCTCAAAATCCACGAGATAAACATTAAAATCCCCTTCACAGAATCCATTTCTTTCCTCTATATCAAATCTGAAAATCCTTGATCTTCACATCCAGTTCTGCAGCATATGGCAAACTCCAACTGAGACGTACACATTGAAGCCACCTAAAAGGAAACAAGCTGAAAGTCCTGATGACTTGGTCCAACCTGCCCACCAATGCCCCAGCCGATGATGTTGTGTTCTCTGTAAGAAACATGGAGCATATTGACCTCAACTCTCCATCACCCCCCTCTTCACCAACTTTTTCATCTTCCACAGACTTTATATTTTCTGTTAGAAATATGGAGCTTATAGATATTAATTCTTCTACCTCATCACCCTCCTCACCAACCTACGCAACTTCCAAAGGTGCTGTGTCACCTGTGAGAAATTTTGAGCTTATCGATATTAATGCTCCCTCACTCTCTTCCTGCTGGAACAACCAAGATGCGAACCTGCATAACCAGATTGAATGGACAGAATCCTGTTATGATTCAGGCGATCGGAGAAGAATTAGGTTTCAAGGATGAGGAAAATAGGAAAATGGCGATTGAGCTTGGAGAACAAATGAATAAGCTATGGGCCGGGATGTGCGAATGGATCGACTGTTGGTGTTCCTCAAGATGGGTCGTTGATACCGAGGCCCAGTAGCTGCAGGACAGTGAAGATGGGGGTTTTGGGCTAAAATGATGTTAAGCCCAACTCCCTTTACTATTTATTTCCTTTTAATTTTATCTTTAAATTGCTTTGTGATGTAAGCTTGGAGTGGTCCCCAAAAGATGCTTAAATGGTGCGTGTGACGTGAACATTGGCAGAATTAGTTATGCAACATTTTACCTGTCTCTCTTTCTCTCTCTCTAGCTTCAGTTATCATCATCTCCCTCACTTCTGCATTTCCCCCCATTAAATCTCCTATAATCTTCATCAACAAGCCAACATAATTTACCTTTTCAGCAAATATAATAGATATCAAGCTGTGCATACAAAAATTATAAAAATCCCTATAAAATTAAACATAAATCCTCCCAAGATCACAACAAATCCACCCCATGCAACACCTCCTCCGTAAGAAATGAAGAGCTCGTTGACCGTAATTTCTCCACGGGTCTCCTCAGTGAAGAAGTCAGCGAGCCGCCCCAAATTCATCATTTGGGGCAGGAGGGTCTTGACTTGTGCATACTGTGCTTGGATCTTTGAAATTGCACACAAGTTAAGTTGATGAAGGGGGATTCCCACATTCCCACACTAAATATGTGGCATGTGTGCTTGATGTCGACACTCAGTGTGGCATTGGTGAGGGTCTTGAGCTTGTTGATTGGGTAATTTCAAACTGATTTTTTTCAAAGGTTTGATATCTGAATCAGATGTTAACATTTCATGTCATGGTATTGGTGGCAGCTTTATTCTATGGATTTGCCGTTTGTGCTCTTATTAGGACTTAGGACTGTTTGCTAGGTGTCTTAGGTAGAGCTATTAGTGATTTCGGCTGCTCATTGTTTACTTATCTGATGGCTAGTCAAAAGTGTAAATATTCGGATCACTACAGAAATAATTACTAAAACATTGTGATAGGTGTAATTGCTTTATAGAAGTGGGTCTGTAACTGGTGCATTTCTCTTCTTGATTTAAGGAGTTGTATTGGAAACAAAATATTGTATGAGGACGTTGGAAATATATTGTTATGCGTACGTGATGGGGCATGTGGCCTATGGTGCTTGCAAAAATTTCCAACCCAAAGATAGTATACATTGGATAAAGTTAATGAAAAACCTTTTTAGAACATTCCTGTAATTGGTTGAGTTACTACAAGTAAGTAAAATTAATGAATAACTAATTTATTGTTCAATGCATAGAGCATTTGGAACTTGTGGGGGCCTTGTGGCTTCTGGACCACTCCTTTTTTTTGAATGAGCTTTAGGTTATTGGCACCCCTAGCAAAATTAGTGTTTCTTTGAACTATATAAGTTCATCACCTAATAAAGCCCTGGTCTCATAACAACTCTCGGTACATGTAGCTAAAAATTACGAAAATGTTCTTTTTCTGGTGTCCGCAAATAAGTATGTTTTCTAGTGATTCTCAAGTTATACGTATTGAGTAATGATCGTTATATGGAGGAATGGGGTAAGTAATACTTGCTTTCTGAGATTAACATTGTTTCATATGATGATGCAGCTTTGCTAACAGTGGATGATGATGAATTCTGGGAAGGTGTGTCCCCTGTAGAATTTGGAGATCTGCCTGCACTTCAAGATGCTGTTACAGTTGTTGGTTATCCAATTGGTGGGGATACAATCTCTGTAACAAGTGGTGTGGTCTCTCGGATTGAAATCCTTTCTTATGTTCATGGATCAACTGAACTTCTAGGATTGCAGGTAGCTTGCAATTCAGTTTCCTTTCTTTTTTTTTTTTCTTTTTTTTTCTTTTTTTTTTTTTTAAATCCTTGGTCTCTAGATAGATTACGCCAACTTATCGTGCCAAACATTGTCTTCTGCAGATAGATGCTGCTATAAACTCTGGCAATTCTGGGGGACCTGCTTTTAATGACAAGGGAAACTGTGTTGGTATTGCATTCCAATCACTCAAGCATGATGACGCGGAAAATATTGGTTATGTAATACCAACACCTGTTATTATGCACTTCATCAAAGATTATGAAAAGAATGGAAGATATACAGGTATAGTTGCTCTGGGATTTTCTCCACACTGGCTTTCTTTGTACTTAACTGGGGTTGAGAGACTGTTCAGAATAAAGATTTAGCTTAACAATACAAAAAACATGGACCAACACCGCGAAGATAAAAATGGATGTATATTGGATTCAAAAATAATTACTATTTAAAAAAAGGATTATCAGTTCAATAATTATCTATCCAATTCTTTGCGCCACATGAAGTATTTTGTGTTGTCCGTTAGGATTTCCCATCCTCGGGGTTGAGTGGCAGAAGATGGAGAATCCAGACTTGCGGTTGTCCATGGGGATGAAATCTGACCAGAAGGGTGTACGCATAAGAAGAGTGGACCCCACTGCTCCAGAGTTCCAGGTCTTGAAACCATCAGATATCATCCTCAGATTTGATGGTGTTGATATTGCCAATGATGGAACAGGTAACACACACAGATAACCCAACTCTTTGTGTAGGCTTGTGTAACCAAATTCTAATTTTCGAAATTCCTCGTAACAACTTCCTGCATTTATTGTTACCAATATGCATGAAACATTGTGCTGTGAAAAAGAATCTCCTTCTATTTTAAATTTTATTGGAAATAATTTTATATCGCAAACAATCCCTTGTTATAATAGAATATACCATGATTAGACGCATAACTCATGTTTTGGTTGATTGCAGTTCCATTTAGGCATGGAGAGCGCATAGGCTTTAGTTACCTTGTTTCACAGAAGTATACTGGAGATAATGCTGTAATTGAAGTTCTTCGTGATTCTAAAATTCTGAAGTTCAACGTCAAGCTTCGTACTCATAGAAGGCTCATTCCAGCTCACAACAAAGGCCAACCTCCCTCATATTACATTATCGCTGGCTTTGTTTTTACAACTGTTTCAGTTCCATATCTCCGTTCGGAGGTTAGTGTAAACTGTTCCAACATTTGTGTAGTCGATTCATTGAAAGTCTTTAGTTACCTCCCCAAACAGATTTCATTTTTTTGCATCATATGTTTGTTCTTGTTATGAACATAGTGGTAAATCTAATTGAAAGGAAATTAGTTATTACAATATTATTTGAAATTCTTCAGTACGGAAAAGATTACGAGTATGAAGCTCCAGTCAAGTTGTTGGACAAGCTCCTACATGAGATGCCACAATCACCGGAGGAACAAATTGTCGTTGTTTCCCAGGTTAATCTTCACATCACATATCTTGATAATTTATTTTAGAGTTTAGAATACTCGTCCCGCACTCAAAACTTTGTTCGCTTTGTGAAATTTTCAAAGGTTCTTGTGGCTGACATCAACATTGGATACGAGGACATTGTCAACACTCAGGTTTGTGCTCGGTGCTCCTTGTTCGATTATCAACTACTGTTACATTTTCCTTCAGTTAATGTAACTTTTTTCGACCCACTTTGTTTGGATTTCTTGCTAGGTTCACGCTTTTAATGGTCAGCCCGTGAAGAATCTGAAGAGCTTGGCTAGAATGGTGGAGAGCTGTGATGATGAATATTTGAAATTCGACTTGGAATACCAGCAGGTCACATTTCTATTCGTTGTCCTCTTCTTTTATCTTACATATATATATATATATACATATATATATATATATATACATAGTTTTTTGGTTTTTCTTTGCGATATATACATAACTCCAGTATTCTAAATTGTACAGATTGTCGTTCTACAAACAAAGAATGCGAAAGCGGCTACTTTGGATATTCTTGCTACCCACTGTATTCCATCAGCCATGTCGGATGATCTCAAGGCGTGAGGGATGACATATTATATATATATATATATTTGTATCTAATGTGGCGATACTTTAATATAATATACTACAAGTACTGCCACATTTTTCGTTTCTTTTAATTTTTGTTTTGTTTTGTCAAAAGACCATTTTTGAACTAGGGAGCCATGAGAAGGTTTTCTCTGGTGAATGCTCGGTTAGCTATTCGATTAAAAGAACTCAACAAGTGGCACGTTGTCGATGCCTGTAGACTGTTTTGAGTAGGTGGGTTAGCTACCTATGCTTATTTATTGATTAAGCTTTTTGACTCCTTGTATGCATCGTTCGTTCTTTCTTAATCCTCAAATTTTAGCTTGGATGATTGTGGTTTCATAATTCTCGAATTTTAGCTTAGACAATTGTGGTTTCGTACTGAGATTTGAGGTGAATAGGATTGTGTAGTATGTGATAGTGTTGTAATCGAATTGAACGAGCCGAGCTTGGACATTTTGAGCTCATATTCGTTTATGTTCGAAAACTGCTTGTGTTCGTTCGTTTATATTTCGAGCGAAGTGTTCAAGCTCGTTTGTTTAATTGTTTGTCAAAGTTTAAATTCGTTCGTGTTAGAATAATTTAGGGCACAAACTTTTTAACTTGAAATATATTTAAAAAAGTATATTTTAGAGTTTTCATTAAAAATATCATATAAATTTTATAAAAATAAAATTAAATTATATTAAATTAATGTTTGCGAAAATGATTAAACATTTGCTTCGTTTGATTATTAAGCTAATTTAATTTTTTGTTCGAACTAGGCTCGGTTAACAAACAAACGAACTTTTGTCGAACAAAAACGAGATCAAATGGACTTTTGTTCGTGAATATTCAGTTCGTTAATATGTGATATTGAGAGTTACCCATACATAGTTTGTGTTCGTTCAACTACTAAGCTACTTCAATTTTCTGTTCGAACTAGGCAATTAACAAACAAACGAGCTCTTGTCGAACATGAACAAGATCGAATGAGCTTTTGTTCGAGAACATGTTCATTAATGAGTAATGTTGGGAATTACTCATAAATTGGTACATTGTGATCAATGTTGTGCTTTGAGGCATCAAATTTGGTTGATGTGGAAATGTAAAAATAGTTTTACAATAGTAGTAGTTAAAATTCTAAAGTTTACAAAAGAAATGTAAGGCTATATTTAAGAGAAAGTCTTACTAAGACTTCTTTACAATGTTCTAAAACTCGGTTGGGTGTTTAATTTCCGATCTCCAGTACAATTGTCGTTCACATAATCAGTCACTCGCTGAATTGAATAAATTAATTTTAATAAATAAAATAATATTTATATTATATTGTATATAGTAATAATAAAAAATCTAAATTTATTTCTTAAATAACACTTTAAACTAGTACAATATTTTAAGAAAATTATACTAAAACTTAAGAAAATAATAACAAAAATCATTTTAGTTTTTAAATTACTTTTTGAAAAAATATATTATTATTTATATTTAAAATGACAACGTCACTTACACAACTTACATCTTATATTATAATTTTCTTTTAATTCATATTAAATAACTACTTTGTAGTTAAATTAGTTTAAATAATTTTATTTTTTGAATTAATATTAATTGGTAAGATAATTTTAATTATAAAGATAAATAAAGTTATTTATTTATTTTGTATATATAATATAGATGTCAAATCAAAACTTGTCAAGACATGACTAATTTGATATATTATATATAAAAAAATATTAAAAATTAAGCACTTACTAAATTTTAAGGGGCTTTTCCTACAAAGTACCTAAACCCTTTTACATATTCTTTTTCAGTCCCCACACAAAAAAATTTCCTTTTCACTCTCTATAACACTAAATATCTTACAATGAACTCCCTATGTTTAAAAAAAATGATAAATAAAATACACACATCACATCACCATCTACCAACTTATTTTATCCAATTATTATATTAGTTAAATAGTAATTTCTTCTAATCTTCTTCCACAATCCACTCCCTCATTCCTCTTCTCCCGTCACCTTCATGTCCGATTTTCAGTGTTTTTTTTTCTTGCTAATTTTGGTCTCCGGCGATCGTAAATCCGGCGAAAGGCACG